TAAACATGTCGATATAAAGCTCTGAGTCCAAGAACTCCTAAAACAAGCTACTGAGCTAAGAGGAAGCCAAAAACAGCCAGTAGCTTTGGAATCAGACTGAAAATTATTTGCCTTTTCTCACCTGATTTTTGTCTCACTTAGGACCTACAGGACCTATTTTACTTTTACTTTTGTTTGGTCCTTGCCAGTTTAAACTGTTGGTTAAGTTTGTGTCTTCTAGATTGCAGCAATTCCTGGTTAAATTGATGATGAGGCAAGGCTTTGCGCCCATACCTATAGGGGAGGCTGCCAGCCCATGGAGGTCACTAGAGTGGTCAGTGAGAGATCTACACGGCTGGGCAGGCCAACACCCATGTATAAGCACATAGAACGTACAGTAGAAGAGACCTCCGCCCATGTTTCCCCATAAACAACTGTGATTATGAAATATCTCGGGGGGGAATGAGACAGGCAGGAGGCAGCAGGACTTATCAACGATCAAAGGAAAGGCTAGAATTATAACATTACGGAAGCCTCACAGGTGCCACCAAAGACTAACCCACATCCTGGAATAGGGTCCAGAAGTAACCAGCAGCCTTCTCCAGCTCCGTGCTGCATCTTCCTGCAAGTTTTTTTTTTTTTCCCTCTAGGTGTTTGCAGTGACCTCGTTTCCATCTTCCCAGAACCCCTAATAACAGCATGAGACAAATTATTTCTAAGTACTAATTAAGTAATCAGCAAAGAGACCATATGCTGGCTTATAGTACAAATGTTAATAAAATAAAATCAATGAAGTATAAGAAATCATGGTATATTCAAGCATTGAAATAAAACACAGCAACAGCATTAAAAATAAGGTACTGCTGTGTGCAACAGCATAGATGAAATCTTACATTATGTTGATTAGATGAAGTCAAACACAGTGTACCTCGGTATTCTTAGACAAACCCACTGCCATCGAGTCAGATCCAGCACATAGTGACCCCTCCCTGGATTGCTGAGGCAGTATCTCTTTGGAAATAGACTGCCCAGTCTTCCTTTCGAGGAATGCATGGGGGGTTTGAACCGCCAGCCTTCTGGTCAGCAGTCAAATGCCTTAGGCACCACGCCCCCAGAGCTCCCATAAATAATGTCCGAGGATGTGCAAAGCAGTTTCTTCATAATAATTGGAACACTGCTTATGCCTGGGGTGAATGTTACCTGTGAAAGGGGCAGGAGGGAATCTTGGGTGTTGGAACATTTCCTCAACTTAAACCCTGAGGGGGTTATGTATATTGAGATGTGAAAATGCATCGTTACACTTAACTTTATAGGAAATGTTATGTAGTTTACTACATGTCTGTATATCTCAGAGAAAAAGTACAAACTGTGCATAATAGTCCTTTTCAAAGGGACTTCACATTTTTCTATTAGCCAGCAGAACGACTGGCATCTTCCTGCCTCTCATTTTGCGAAACTCCTGTCTGTGGGCTCCCCAGCCCTCGGAGAGATCAGACTGGGTTTGCACAGTCTGTGACGTGCTCCCAGGGAAAGATTCCTGATAAGCTAGAGACCAGGAAACAGAAGTCAAACTAGAGACTTCAACAGTTCTAAAGTGTGAAAATAGTCATCAGGAGTAGAGGAATTATTTCTTTAAAGATTGTGGAAAGAGGGCTTGCTGGTCTGATAGAAACTGGTGAGACCTTGGAGCCTATGGCCCCAAGCTGCCCTTCAGGTCTGGAACTGAACTCAATCCTGTGGCTTCCAGCTAAACAGACAGGCATATGGGGTGAACATTTACATCAGGTAGATACACTCTTTGGAGCGATCAATTGGAGAACAGAAGGGCACTGTTTGCACAGGGAGACAGCTGGTGGGTGGTGGGTGGTGGGTGGGGAGGCCGTGCAGGGAGGGACGCATGGCAGCAGTAACCGCAGGGAGGAAGTGGGAAGAGAACAGTTCCGTTGTGGGGAATTGTAGTCAATGTCGTGAGATAAAATGTGTATGAACTGCTGTATGGAAAATGAATTTGTTCTGTAAACCTTCACCCAAATCACAATTTAAAAAAAGTGTTAAAATGTTAGGATGGCCATATATGGAGTCACCACTGTCTCTCTACTTCCCAAGGGTATTGCGATTACGGAAATTCTCATTTCAGTTCATAACGGAATGACGAAACTCTAGGCTTTTCTCTAAAGAGGGCATAAATGACACCTGTGAGCAAATCCCAAACACAAGGGGAGCCACTGAACTCCACGGCCAGGAGTTTGCGCCCTCTGTGTTCCCGCCCGGAAGCCTTCTTCTGAAGCACCCAGCATCCATAAACCGGAAGCGGGAGTGTGCGTCTTCTGTCGTATCCTCAGCCGTTTTGGGTACCGTCTTGCCAGTTGGCCTGATGCCCTGCAGGTGACCGGCAGGCTCCGGTCCTGGGTACGAGGCGCTGCCCCCGCTTTCCCGATCTCTCTGCCTCCCGGAGTCTCGGGACGTTATGGCGCCGCCGCCGTCGCCGTCGCCGCTTCCCGCGCGATCCCGGCCCGGAGGCTGCAGCCGCTTTCTGCGGGCGGAGCAGCCGCTCGGCATCAGCGTCTCTCGGTGCGGGACCAGATAACATCGCGGGAGCCCTCGCTGAGCAAACGTGAGATTCTCAGTCCGGCAGCGTCCGCGTCACCGGAAGTTGGTGAGAAGTGCGGTCTCGGCCGCCCGGCTGCCCCGAGTTGTTTGGCTCGGTCTGAACGCCCTTGTCTGGTAGCGTAGTGCCTAAAACACTTGACTGCTAACCCGAAGGAGGGCCGTTCAAACCCATCAGCCACTCCTCGGAAGGAAGGTTGCGCAATCTGCTTCCGTAGTGATACCGCCTCGGAAACCCAAGGAGGGGTCGCTATGAGTCTGATCTGACTCCACAGCACATAACAACAAACGCCCTCTCCCGCCCTCCAGTCCCCGGCTCTCCGTGTTTCCTGTGGTTTTGACAGTCCAACCTCAGCCACACTCTTCGGCCTCATCTGCCGCCTCTCCCTCGGGCAGATGTAAGTTTGATGTTTTGAAGAACCGCCTCACGTTTCCACACAGCCTGCACCATTCTCCACTCCCACCGGCAGTTTCTGCAGTGTCCCCAACACTTGTTCACGGTTTTTCTGACAGAGGCCATCCTCGTGGGGGTGAAGGCGTTTCCCTCCTGACGGTGCCCAGCATCTTTCCACGTGTCGAAGGACCATTTGTGTAGCATCCTCGCTGAAGTGTCTGTTGAAGCTTTAAGCGCATTTTTACCCGGTTCTCCCAGGGTTCTCTGTAGTTTCTCCCACTGTGTAGGTTGTCCCTTCACTATGTTGACCAAGTCCTTTGATATACAAGATTGTTAATTTCTTTGTTTTGTCTTTTTCTTCTCCTGCTTGTCTTATCCTGTCTAAGAATCCATAATCATCGTTTGTAATTTCAACATTGGTGGAAAATCCGGGGCCTTTTATTTTTCTCTTTCCTTTCATGAAGATAAATACTCCGGAAGTACTCCTTTTTGGACTGAAGTTACCCATGGGACATAACTGGTCATGTAGTCACTTTGAGTGAAATTCAAACCTTCATTCAGAACTACTGAATTTTATGAGTTTTGGTTCTATGCATTGCCTCTCAGATAAGATTACCAGATTCACTTATTCGCTAAGGGCTTAATTCAGGCAGAACTGTGCTCTTCCTTTTCTTTAGCTGGAAGATTCACAGTTTGATTTTTGGTGACCGGGAGGAGAAAACCTACAGGTTAATAAGATATGAGCCCTTGGTACCAATGGACTCAGACACCACATACTTCGGATTGTCCACATAGGGTACTGAGGACTGTGTGGCTGTGAAATCTAGTATGTCCAAGACAGAGCTTTTTAAAATCTCACTTGAACAAACATGCTTCTTACCTGGCTTTCCCATATAGTATGTGGCATCAGCATCCTTTCACTAGATTTGGGGAAAGTCAAAGGTCCTTGGACTGCTCTCTCATAACAAAGCATTTTCTGAACTTCTTACTGCTTTTTCTCTTGTCTCAAGAAGGTATGATCTATACCCAAGCAGTAGAAGGGAAATTTCAGCAATGTAAACCAGTAAGCAGACAATGGCACATAGAATAAAATCCACATATCTTAGGTTGCACAACAAAATCTTACATGTTCAGGTCTCTATATAGCTCTCTGACTTATAATGCCCTGACATTAGATAGTCTGTTGGCACATTTTTCAAAAACTTTAAAATATGTCAAGACTTTACTGCTTCTGCAGGCTTTGCACTAGACACTTCTGAGCATAGAAGACTTTTTAACCAGAGGAATGCAGTGATTCCTGTAATTCAGGTCTCACCTCAGATGTCACCTCCTCAGGTAGTACTCCTCCCGAGCCCTCAGATATTCCTAATCATTTCTTTGTCTAAATACCA